AAGGAAATTCTATTCAATATTCATATTGAAAAATCAGTGCCTGAAACTACGAATTCGCATAAATGTTCCGCGATCCACCGTTAATCCTCCGTAGACAATGTGGGTCGTTGACGACCCTGGCAAAATTTCATTTCCACTCGACTGCCCGTCGAATTTTTATTTTAATCGAAAAAAGTTTTTTACATTTGAATTAACGAACGACTATATAATGTAATAGAGACTTTGATAAGTATTCCAGTATTTTCTCACATCTTTTTGAAGGTCAAAAAACATTACAAAAATTAGGCTTGGACAGAAATGATCCAGTTTACCTGCGGGCTATGAGAAAATATATTTGCCTACGAAGGGATTAAAAAAAAATCCTATTCAGCGGTTGACACCGGCTTTCGCGTATACTGTTTTCTTTCAGAAGGCTCGTTCAAAGTCAACATCAAAAATAAAAACATAAGATTCTTCGACTCATTTGTTTTTTTCTCGTTAGGCATGCCAAGTATTGACGCATTGGATCCGCGAAAACGTCTTTCGTCCGTGGTCGCGCGGATGGACGGAAACGAACGCCCACCCCCTCGGATAGAAGAAATCAAATCGAGATCTCAATTTGGATCACAGAGCGTAAAATTCTGTACGTTACTTAGGGTCTAGGAGACGCTGTCGCTAAAACCAGTCTTGTGTGTCACCCTGTAGAGATCACCGAGAAACGCTTGTCAAGTGTTTTTAATTGTCTAACGAAGCTTAGCATCTACATTGGCATTGGACAGTCGCGTAATTTCTCGTTCGTTTTTATCGATCGTTTCTTTACGTCGCGGTTATCGATCCTTGAAACCGGAAACGGAGGTTCGGTTGTTTAAGCTACTTCTACACTATATAGCATAACAGGTTATATAACAATATTATAATACTTGTTAGAAAAACAGGAAGAGAAATGTTACATAACGTGATGTTACATAACATTTTTTGTGACATATAGAAAATTATATTGTGTGTGATACCATTATTAATAATGAGACCCGAAATATTATGCAATGTTGTTACAGACTTGTCCAAAACGTATAATCTTGTAACAAGTTATAAAAATATGTTGTATAGCAAGGTTATACAACAATTTGTTATATAACACTGTTTTGCTACATAGTGCAGACGCAGCTTTACGCTTGTTGCGGACACGTTACAGTCCGGCTCGGGAAAACCATGTCGTCGTCCCGAGTCCTTAACTGTTCTAATTCTATTTATAATGTAAAGAAAATTCAATGGAGAAAACAACAAATATTCTTCTTTGTAAGTGTTAACTCCAAAACTTTGAAAGATTCTTTATCGTAATAGTTGTATCTCCGAATACTAACAACTATACAGAATTTATGTTCAGATAAAATTTTGTTAAATACATTGCAATAAATAGTTATCCAGTAAATAATATTATAGTGTGTTTGATTATTATCACTACTTTCGTGATTCTATAATATTAACCTTCGTAAACGTAAAACTTAGTTTTCTCAGTTTAGAAACTAATGAAGATAGAACAATTAAGAACCTGGAGAGATGATATGTGGCCCACGATATCATATGGGTCACGGGGGGTGGAATCGTCGAACCGAGAAACAAATCAGCGCTCGAAAAGGGCATTCAGAGGGTAACCGTGAATTACGAGATTGGAGGGCTCGGATAAATGATCTCTCCTCTTGCGAGCAAAAGGGATTTTCCTCGTCTAATGATAGGCATTCAGAGTTTTATAGTTTACACCCCAGAATTGAACAGAGCAGTTTTCAGTCGTGCAAACGTTTCAATCAATTCAGGAATATTATTTGAAACTGGATATATATACAGGGTGTTCCGTTTAAAACAGGCCACCTAAATATCTTCTTTATCTGTGAACATACGAGAAATATTTTTTACGTAATTTAAATGGTTCACAGACTAATGGACAACAGACAGAAATTATATTTACGTCGCCTGTTTTAAGCGGAACAACCTGTATATGCGTGACATAACTATAAAACCACCCTAAAATTTTCAATCCTTATGTATATTATGGTTAAAATGAAAACGAACCACTTTTTTTTAGGTAATATAATCTATCCTTTTCTAGAGAAACATTACGGTCTCTCAACAGAATTTCAGACATGGTACACTTGGTTCGTTTGTATTTCAACGGCAATACATAAGAATTGCAAAACTCTAGGGTGGTTTTATAGTTATGCCACACAGTGTATATCCATTTTTTCACCGTGATCCGTAAACGAGTCGATACCATGTGTTCCGTTCCAGCTAAATCCGCGATATCCTATTATTATATCTGTCTTTCTCTTTCTTATTGAATACAAAAAACTATTCTCGCCTTTGTGTGTTTTGCTTTTTCTAGTTTTTTTTCTTTTTAAACATTTGGTTGTCGTTCTTGTTTTTCACTTAATTACATCTCACTGTTGTCGCTTAGCGGTAACGCGCACTCGAATTGTTTGCACGATTTTTCATCTTCGAATTTGTATACGTATAATATCTTTCGTCCCTCGTGTTTGTTCTCAGAGGTGTTGGGAGAGGGGGGGGGGAGGCGCACGGGGGTTACCTTTTTTCGTTATTCGTGATCGAAACGCAAACGTATGGACCCATACAGACACACGCACACACACACACCCGTGTTTTATTTCAACAGGAACGCGTTATGCACTCTCTCTCTTTTTCTCTCGCATTCTCGTATCGCGTTTCGATCGTTTTATCAATATTAACAGATAGCGGTGAACATAGTAGTTTATTAGTTAGCGGTGATATTAAAAACGGTTACCAACGTGTCATTCCACCCCCTGGGCCCACCCCCTCCCCCGCCCCCGCACAAAGCTACATCCGAGAACGAAATGAATCGTCTCTCTCTCTCACTCTCTCTCTCTCTTCCTGTCGTACATCGCCCCGCCTCGCCGGCTGGTAATTACAGTAACGATATAATCTACGTTTTCTCGTCGTGTCGCCGATTTTCAATTAGTTAAACCGCGTTACACCTTTAGGCCCGATTATACATCTTGCTTGGCAGATTAGTCCTAGACCGGTTTCTTTTTTTCTTTGTTTTTTTTTTCTCTCTCTCTCTCACTCTCTCTCTTTCTGTGTGTGTGTATATAGATTAATCTATAAAAACGTCGGTCATGCGGTCTACGAGTATTCTACAGTTTCTTTTGCGGGATGTTCTCATCCCATTAGCACGCAACAAATCATCCTTTCGCCACTATTACAATATTATCGTTAGTTAATAATATATTTATATATATATATATATTTATTTATTTATCTATTCAG